AGTCACAAAAATTTAATGTGAATCAGCAGAGAAATTGCTTTCTTCTCATTCATTTTGCATATGACTTAAATAGACTGTAATTCTTACCTATCCTACTTAATATAAAAGTTTACACTAATTATGACTTTTCTGCCCTCATCTATGATCCTAAGTTCAGTCCTTATGTCTTCTGTTTTAAAAGATATGGTAAATTCGAGTACTTCAATCTGATAGTGCTTTTTCATTCAGTTTCTAAGTTCTTGATACAGGATGTTCCAGTTACTTTATATGTTCGTTTTATATATTCAACATTTTCTTCACTCTATTCACCTTACCTTACATTTTACAGTGTGAGTCATACTGATGGGTTATGAAATTCTCACAGTTTATTCTATTGCCTTTCCAGTTGATGACAATACAGATTCTATTTTCACCAAGTCAAGACCATTTCCTAAATCCTCAGTAGCTGTCAACAAGACTTCTCTGCAGAAAATTAATCAGATGAAGAACATTAGCAATGTTCTATTACATGAATCTGAATGACATAAAACTAATTCTTAGTAGCTAATATTCCATATAAATAGGGATGCTTGCTAAGCCATAAATGTCCATTATTTCAGATCTTCAAGCTAAATTTGAAATGTAAGATGCTTTAATTATTGCCTTATTACTGCTTAGTATTTCATCGATTCATTTTGAAATTACTTATTTCCTTATGATAATATGAAAACAGTATTCCAAGTCTTACCAATATTTTGTCTTACTATTTAGATTGGTATATTTCATTTGTAACAATAAATATCAGTTAAGCTCTGAACATACTGAGGACCTCTAAAGGCCTAATTCATTCTCTGGTCTGTTAAGAGTGTATTTAATTAAAGCTACCGATAACAGGGAGATGAGATAATTACATCTCCACTGCAATGTCCAAGTATGGCAGAACATTAAGGTAGTCTCAACTTAGTGTAAGAAGAGTCTCGGGTCTGCCCAAGATCCAGACTTTTTCCGCAGTGAAGCTGGATTCTTGCCCTTCAGTAGCATTTTGTATGGCTCTGGCTTTTCATTAAGGAAGCATTGGTTTTGCTCTTTCCTTCGCATTATCTGTACTGTACCTCTGCTGCGATTATTTCCATTTTGGGGGGGGGAACCTGAGCCCGTCAAAGTACTTTTAACATATATTTATCATTATACTAATTTTCAAGGTCCCTGATAATTAATAACTTCTCTTGCCACAAACATTTGATGCAACCATCTAATTTCAAGACCAGTAATCCAGACCAAATTTATCTTGTTGCATAGACAAGAATTGGCAGTGGCTACTTCAGAGGCTCATGAGTTAATAAAGCTTTTCTTTTTGCAGATTTTGGGAATTCCCCTAGATTTCATTTGGGTTGCCGCCTTAACAATGACAATACCAGTTGCTTGTCTTCTCAAAGCGACTGTCGGTTTGAAAAGGTCACTGCTAGTAAAGCTAAAACTATCTCTGAGATAGCTCCACCATTTTATAGGCAAAAGTATGCCAGTTCCTCTTCCTTTAAGGGCTTGCTTGGCACATTGTGGTATTGAGATTTGAAGGATTCACTCCCATCCCCAAGGGAGAACGCAGATTCCAAGTACCCTGAGGTCATGGCAGGAAGAGGGATGCTCGAGACATTGTTTCAGACATTCAGTGTTTGAGAACCTTTGTGTTTTCTATCTTATCTTGCTATGCTTGGAGTGGAATCCAGCCAGGGCTAGTAACAAGAGGACATTTGCTTTTGGGAGGGGAGGTGGTGGGCACATATTTGTTGTCAGAAGTTGAAGGGTATTTCAGAGAATTGATTACTGTGACACTTGGTCTGGGAACATTCCAGTCAATACATTCTGTTTACTAACCTGAAAAACAAAGCAAAATGCCTCAAACCTGGATTATTAGCTTTAACGAAGTATTTTCCAATTTCTTTACCTGGATAAGACAACTATAAGCATGAAACAGCATAGAATTAAAAAAAAAACACACATAACACAACAAAACCTAAACAAAGCCCCCAGAAAAATACAGCACTTTTAGAAGGGAAATAAGTACCAGAAACGGACTTAACTTAAAGCTCTTTCATTTCTAATACCTCATGAAAGATTTTACTTCATCTTATCACACAAAGTTACAGACAAATCAACATAAACATATGTGCAAAAATGCACAATCTATTAATGTTGACGAAGACTGGTCACCAGATTGACTTTATTCTGATTCTAGTTTTGAACACACAGGTAAACAACAATTACGAAAATTTTAAGCAAAAAGATAATAATTGAGTTCTAACAGATACTTCAACATTTCTTCCACTACCATTTTAATAGAAAAAAAGACAGGAAACAAAAATCTCTTGCAAATTTATGACTTTGAAAAGATGTTATATATAAGCAAACTTCGTAAAATGCCATGCAATAGTTTCCTACATAGACTTTTTTCCTTCATATCCTTTAAAACGGCTATTTAAAACCCCATTTTATTTTTAAAAAAACTTTTATAAAAATAAAATACTTTCTTTGTTAACTTTAACTACAGTTTACTTTTTCCAACAGATTAATTGCAAATAAAATTAGCACGCAGTAAATTATGCACTTCATGAATACCTGATCATTTCTAGGAACAAGCACCATTTGCTGATATCTGCACTGCAGTCCTGATCCTGTTTCCACTGAAGCCAATGGCAAAACTCTCATAAGCTTCAAAAGAAGTTAAAAAAGCTCACTTTATTAACTATTCTGACATACTAAAAAAAAAAAAAACAACCCCAAAACATTAGAGGTTTTGGTTTTTTACTGTTTTATTTTAATTGTCAGTAAAAGCAAATCTCAGATTTTGAATTTTGAGTCAAGCAAAGCAAAATACACTACTATCATCTGTTTTTACATCTAAGCTCCGACTTGCTTTTCTTTTGCCTATACATAAAAAATAAGAATAAATTTTTGTTATTACAGAACTACTATAAAAACTAAGGTTTATAAATGCTTTTAGCAAGAAATGGCGTGCAAGCATTTTGCTTGCCATTTAGGTAATGTCTTCAAAGATAATGTCTTGTTCAAATATACACTGGCAATTTTTTTCTTAAGATACAAAAAGGTTTGATAAGCAAACTCTCAGTAAGAGCAAGCCATCAAAGCCAAGTTTTGTTTTTAAATATGTACTTGTCAAATTCAAATTTAAGACAGCCATGGTTATTTCTTCGCATCTAAAAATAACAATAACATTTTTATTCATACAAATACATGGTTTAAACAGCCATCAAAAAATAAAAAAGGGCTAACCATTCCCTACAGCTCAGAAAGACAGTCTGGAAGGCTCCGAGTCTGAAACCACATACAACCTGACAAGGCTCTATTGATCGTCTTGCAATCAAGGTGATCAAAAAGTCATTTATACAGTACTGAATGAACAATCTATGACTAGTCATGCAAGCAGTCCTGGTATCTAGAAGCTATTTAAATACACAAATACAAAGGAAATATCTTACCAAATGCTGCTTTAGCATCTCCTGGCAATTAGAAGTCTGGGAATGGCCTTTCAGAGTACTTCACCTCAATGGCAAGTCTAATTCACTGCTGCCTCCATTAGGTACAGACACAAATACACACACACACTAGTGAGAATGCTCGAACGCACAAGCTCGAGTACAGAAGAATAATTGCACATCTTTGTAAATAGTATCAGAAATCTTGCCACTTTGTAATAATTAATAATCAGAGGCTTGCAAAAAGAATACATTCAGCATATGTATATAGAAAAAAATAGCAGTGATCCATTACTAACTTAATATTCAGCACTCAAAATAAGTCAAAACATAATACCAGTAGCAGCAAAATAACTTAGGGTTTTAAAATATATTGATATTAGCTAGAATCTTCTGTCACATACACTGGCACTGAATAATTGAAAAAAAGGCATGCATTTAAATAGCTTTTTAATTCACAGATGTTAGAACATGTAAGTGCATCTTAATACCGAACTTTTTCAGCAATATAAAGACTGCAATGATGTCACTTTAAAACAAATACTAAAATTTTTTTTACTAAAAATCTATGAGCAGTCACCCCAGGTTTTGACATATTATACCAATAAGGAAATGAAGCTAAAATTGCACACGTAGAAAACAGCTGATAGATGTAAACTTCATATTCAGCTTCTGTTTGCAAACAGATACCTATTCCTTACCTGCCTGCTGGGGAAGAAAGGAAGAAAAACAACATTGCTAATTCGACTATCAGGAAACAAGATGTCACAATATACATAATTTTATTCTGGTCAAAGATAAGCAAGTCTGCTCCCATGATTTTTTTAGTTTCTACTGAGTAAAGCTGAACAAAGACTGAACTTAATTTTCTATCTACTCTCAAATCAAGTTTAGAAATAAGATATATTGCTGCACTATCTGTAGGAAAACAAATGTAAAGAATCCCCTCTGCTCTGCCCTTGCCAGGCAGAACATTGCACCATGGCACTGCTGAAAAGTTTAAATGTTACTAAAGCAGTTAATATTACAAAGATAATACACATTCGTTTAATGCACATTGGCATCAGCTATACAATCTTAAAAGCATATGTTGAAGGGAAAGCAAAGTGTGGCAAAACCTTCAGATAGAACAATAAAAGCAGCAAATGTTTCCCCTCCTCTGAACTGAAAACATGTTTAAGAGTCTACTTAAAACATCTTAAAAAAAAAAAAAAAAAAAAAAGAAAAAACCACAAAACCCACAAAAAAGCAATGACTTTGTGTTGGGCAAAGATGGCCTTGCCCTGGAGGCAGGGTGATGTTTAAAAATTTATTTCTGATTATAAGTTTCTACTTAATGTAAAAACAGTTTCTTCTTTTGGTTTTATCCAAAGGATCTGTGAGCCTGATAGGGTATGCTATCAGTTTATTTAAACTTTTGCTTTCCTTGCTATTTTTAGCTTGTGGAGGCTGGCACAAAACATTTACTAGAGCTTAATGGCTTGTTCTCTCATTGCTTTTATTACAAACCATTCAAACGGGAAGTTGTTAAGCGTGCAGTTTGAATTCATAGGTGCTTGTTGTCCACTTGTTGTCATCTGCATTGATCAAGTTGCGCTCTGTGAAAGTAACCCGTCCTTCTGAATCAATGAGAATGACCGTGTTAGTCCTGAAACAACATAAGGGTAGAAGTTAAGCCTTGCGTCCTTATATAAACTTGCAGGGTCCCGTCCCTCATCCCCAAAGGTTTTAGCTCTTTTTTTTTTTTCCTTGACCACATCATCACCACACTAGCACGGCAGAAATCGTCCTGACAAGTTCAAATGGGCATTTTCAGTCCCTTCTTCCATCACTCCACTGCTCTGATTCCCTGTTGCACTTGCAGCAGCTGACATGCAAAGCTGCTCATTTACAGGAGTATGATAAAAGGTTAAACTTTTTTAGTGCTAAGTGTTCCATTCAGAAGTAGCATAAAACCAAGTTTTTATTCACAGCCTACATGTACCCTGATGGGTTATTCATATCAATAGCACTCTTCATTCTTTCCTTTCAAATCAATTGTCCATTAAGATTTAAACATCATTAATTATTATCATAGGACACTGATATACAATCACAGAAAAACTTTTCTCTCTCTAGGAACCTTCCAAAGAAGAAATTTGTTTTCAGGAAAAGAAGATTCCGTTCATGCATCTATGCCACTTTGTCATGTGTAAGCTGTCATTTCTCTACAGACACTGCAGTACCCTGCCAGAGAGATGACTGACAGAAGTAGGAGTTTTCCAGCATTCTGATCTGGTGGCCTTCCCCAAGTCATTTCACAGTTGTTCACTCATATAAAAAAGTGCTTAATTTCCTCAGAAGAATATCGTGAGGCCTAATTAACAATCTCTATTCACTAAGCCATGTTGCTACGGGAAAGATAAGTGTGAGCATACAATTATAGTAGCAGGGAAGATTTTAAATATAGTGTTAATTCACCAGTAAGAGGTCAGTATTTCTATCGAGTTATCCCCGTTTCCTTTGAAGCGGCAAAACTGCAACCTGTGAAGCAAGGGGAAGAAGATGCTTCCTTACCACTTTAAGTCTTCATTATCCCATATTTAAAGTGTTATTTGAACATGTTTCAGAGGGATACTCAGTTTTTGCAGTGGTTTCTTTCTCAGAATACCCACTTAAAATACTTACACAGAAGTGAGTGCTCTCCGCTTCTCAATTTACGTCTCTACAGTGGAAATGCTATGGCTGACTATGCCAGAGAGGCCAATGTGACAATATTGTTGGTAATCTTTTAGAGTAGGAATTCCCTACCAGCAGCAACAGGGTTCACCTATAATTTTGTCCCATCAAGGATTAAATGCAAGATGCATTGCATTATTCTATTCTTCTTGCATCTTTGGTAGAACAGTTTGAGCAGAAAGTGAGAACATCTCAGTAAAAACAGCAGCATCAGTTAGGGGAAAAGTGGAAATACATGTTCTTTTGAACAAGAGTAATAGGTTTTTTAATGTATGAAAATGGCAGCTACATATTACAATGACATGCCTAAAGAAACCTCTAACTTAGCTATGCAGATGAAACCATTCTTGCTCTTGGAAGAGAAATGTGTTCCGCAGTTCCTCAGATACAGAAGATAATTGTGTTTTTCTGCTAAAAACATGATTTCAAAGCTTTTCATGTTTTGATAATATCAAAATTAGAGGTGGTCAGATCTGCTACTATACTGGGGAACTAGGAGAACTGTATTATCTTGTCTTGGATGAACTGAAGCTATGTCACACTCCTCACCAAAGATGATCCTCATCAGTAGCCAATCTAAGACACCAGAATATTGAGCAAGGAAATGCTGAGCAAGGAAACACTTTACTGAGTTATACTTGATTAATATCAGAACAAATTTAAGCAGTCACTATAGAGTTAAAACTTATAGAAGCATAATTTTGATTTGAGATATGCTTTGATCTAGTACACATTTTTTTCTGACTATGAATTTTTTACCTTGTTCCATAACCTGGGCAACGAACACATACAGCTGCATACTTGTCCAATATAGGACGTATATAATCCTTCCCCTGGTCTTCAATTGCAGGGTCTGGTAATTGACTGAAAAAAGCAATAAAATAATAATAAAAAAAAATTTAATTCTCCAATATTAATACATTCGTCCCTCTTGAACTAAGCTGTGTTGACTGAGTGGTTGATAAATAACAATCACTTTTCAGAAAGTACAAAAGTGTGAACTGTGTTCAAAACTGAAGTATGAGGAAAACAAAAGATAAAACAGCTTGTAAGCTCTCTCCCATAGAGATTCTTTCAAGGTCTGGAACTTTTGTCTCACTTTAAGAATTTTTTTCATATCTTGACAAGTTTTTCCCTTTCCTTGTTATTCTTTGTCTTTCTGTATTTTAGTTTCAAATAAAACATTAATGATCAAGTAATTTGAGGCACATCACATAAACAAGCATTCTTCCAGTTAAGACTCCAAGAGTTCTTTTTGTATCAAAGACAGACCTCTCTGCTTCCTTCAATCTTGTTTGGAATACCTGGAAAATACCTAGGACAATCCTTAAAATAAAATTTGTGAAGATGCAGCAGAGGACAAGGTGAGCTTGCGCCCAAACTTCTTGACATATATTCCTATCAAAGCTTGAAAGATATTTAGAAACATAATTTTATTATAAAGCATATCAAGCTTCATTTATTGTAATTAAACAAGTATCAGCATCCCACAGAAGTGATGCTAAGGTCACAAAGGTTACTGCAGCAACCCTACATCCCTGGCTTTCCATTCACGTCACCAGAACATATTCTCAAATGCTAGCTGTAAGTACAGCTTCCTATTTCAATAATTAAAGATTCCAATTTTATTTATCAAAGTCTAATTTAACTATTATTATAGCAGGTTTTTGTGTTTGATTTTTAAGCTTCTTCCATCTTCAAGAAATAATCCCATTTCTACCTCCTAGCACAGACCAAGTTGCACCTATAAAATAATAATAATTCAGCAGCCTATCAGCTGTACAGTGAATGTTGGGGAAGAGGGCAGAACAAAACAGACTGATCAATTCAACCCCATTTTCAGAGCTCATCCTGATCTGTAGAGGAGACTGTGCAATTTGTTATACTGTAACTGACCTTTACATCTAACTGGGATCATTTTCTTTGTTGTTGTGGTGGAGAAGAGGACCTGTGGGTGTTTCAGGGAGAATAGGTGCAATCCTAGTGTGAATAGAGCAACTAAGCTCCTCTCACTCCTGTACTGGGCACATGGCTGGAGCATACCACGATGTAACAGAGAAGGCACACAGCAGGGCACTTCAGCCCGTGAGAACTATCAGCTTCTATCTCATACTCCACCACCAACCATTGTACCCACTTAATTGCTGTAACACACACAAAGCGATCATAAAGTAATATGCGATATTTTAAGAAAGTTCAAAGCTAGTGCATATCCATGTGTTCGTATTTATTATGAAAAGATAATTTCATCTTGAAGTGTGCTTTGGAAAGATTACAGTCTTAGTTTTAAATATTGATTTTTCTAACTAAGTATTTCCATTTTATAGTCAGATATTTCAGATGAGATCATACTGAATTACGGAACATTAAGGGAAGATCATTTGGACTGTACTGTATCTTACACCTTTGTCTTTTTACTAGTAAAAGGTAAGGTATAACAATTTTTTGAAAAATCACTTGATCTGATATCGGATGAACAAAGTAATTAAGACGGCTTAGCAGACTTCCCAATTTCTACTCATTGCTCAGATGTCTGAGTTCTTATGTAAACATTTATTTTGACCCACTGAAAAATGCCACAAACATGAATGTTGGCATTAAAATTGACTAATAAAGTCAGGAAACTGGATCTATACACCAGAAACAGCTTTGCTTCAACACAAATCAACCCCTAGACAGGTAAAAGTCAGGCTAAACATGAAAGTTACTGGATGGTGAGCAACGATATGCATTTAGACCACAGCACCTTCTTTACCCTGCTCCATGTCTGGACATTTAAATGGTATCAATTTCCATTACTTCTAAAAATCTAGCTTATGGGCTCAGGTTCACTGTGTAGCCAGTAGTGAGTGCAGGAACCTTACTTAGGTACTCAAACTAATCTCTTGGAAACTTCCTTAACCAGAGGCCTGCAGCTTAACTGTGCAAATACTCCCTTATCTCCTTCCCCCATTTAGCCTAAAAATAATTGCACTTTTGAGGAAGGCAGCTGGTTCTACTTCAAAAATAGCTTGCTTTTCCACTCTCTGTGTCTACTCTGGGTAGCAATACAGAACAGCTAGCAGCCGCTAACACAAACCTGCGCATGTAAACAAGTGCTTACTTTGTGTGCGGTAAGAAACTGAACCTTACCCTACAGTGAGCCTCCACAAAGCTTACAGCAAGCAACTTACACATCCCTTGTCTTGCACTCATTACCCTTACTAAGCGAAGTGCAATCTTTAAAAGAAAAGGGCACAGAGAAATCAGTGTACAGTCTATGAGTACTAAGACAGCAGTAATAATGTTTACTGTGTCTGCTGCTTAAAAATCAATATTGTTGAACGTCAGTCTCTGTGGAGAGAAAGAACAGTACTTTTGCCCTTCATTACCCAGCTTTAGACAATTAAAATAAGGCAAAAGTTTATTTTCTATCAAAATAGTTTCTACATGCAATTTTTAAACTGGTCATATCGCATTTTGAGGAAACTCTGGCTATCATGTTCTTACGGCTCTTGATTATTCATCACTGTAAGAAGCTCCTGCACCAAGTCTTCTTTGGTAAGGTCTTGACTTCTCTTGACCACTTCTGTGAAAAGCTGCTTTCCATATTGAAGTTTCTTCCATGGTGTATCCAACAAACAATTACTCAATCCATATATTCCTATACATACAAAAAAAACCCCCAAACATCTTATTAAGTTCTGGAGCAACGACAATGAACTTATGTACTATGCAAAAAATAACTTTATAATTATCTTACCCCACACAGTCTGAGGGACAGAAACAAATGCTATCAGCAAATTCATCATGAATCTCTTATGATAATTTGCTTATTCTTCCTATTGCAAGCTTTCATTTTGCTTCAAGAATAAGTGAGGTCATTAAACTACGTATCAAAGATATATATAATGTGACAAAATAAATACAACAACCCTTCAGATAGTAAGAGTCTCCTAGGTGTGCAATTCATAATAAAATAACCTAACCATTTCTCAACAACTCTTCTGAACCACTACTTCTGACTGTTTTATTAGGGGGAAAAAACTCACAAAACACCCACTTCAGAGCATCATTGCTTTAAGTTTACTAAAATTAGCTGAATTTGAGATTTTCAACACTATTATTAACACAATGTATACTGTGGTGTGAAATCAGGTGAAATATCAAAGCCTTTTTTTTCTCCTCCAGAACACAACGCTAGTAGAAACATCAGGGTATTATGTAACCTACGCACAAAATAACTCATAATCATGATATTGTTGGTTTGTTTCTGTAAAGCAACTTTAATCCTTCAAGCTTTACGTGTCATGAAATTAATAAAATCCGTAATAAGGAGGTTATGCAATAAGTTTAAGATTTAAAAGCAATAACAATCAAGTCCACCAGTCCCTGTGGACCACTTCTAGCTGCATAGTATCTACATATTTACTAAATAATGTTTGGGTGGGCAGGGTGGGGAATCAATGTAACTGGAAAGGGTATTCTGGTGACTCTTTGTTGTCATTACAGATTTCACAAATTTTAATACAATTTAAGTGATTCCCAAGCTAACCTGGCTAGGCTTGCCAATGTGACCCCCACCTACAAGAAAGGCCGGAAGGAGGATCTGG